ATATATATATAAACATAAGAGAATTTTTAATAGATCTTATTCTGCTAAAGTTTCAGTATGGAGAGTCCTGCTCTCCATAAAATTTTTATTAAAGAATCTGTTTAGGGAGTCCTACTTTCTATAAATCATTATATTAAAGTTCACGTATAGTGTCCTGCTTTTCACAAGTTATTTTATTAAAGTCACCGTATGGAGAGTTCTGCTCTCCATCATTTTTTTTTTAAGTTCCTGTAGGGGGAGTCCTGGTTTCAATGAAGTATTTTATTGAAGTTTTAGTATGAGGAGTCCTTCTCTTCATAAATTATTTTATTAAAGTTATTGTAGGGAAAGTTCTGATCTTCATAAAATACCAGTTTATTAAATTTACTCTATGGAAAGCCTTGGTCTCAATAATGTCTTTAAAATTTCCTTAAGCATGCAAAATGTTTATTTCTGTTTCTTATCTTCTTTTTCTTCAAAAATTCGTATGATGCAACACTCTTTCTTTTGACTTTCAAAATTTTAGTAAAAATAAAATACAAAATAGTTTTTCTGCGTTCGAAGAGTAATTAAATGATATTTAATTATTCGCTAAATTAATAGTTCATGAAGCTGTCACATAACTGATATGTATGAATAGCAGATGCAGGTTCGCATCGAACTCTTGAGTAACATCTCCTGTTCTAAAAATCCCCCCGTGGACAGTAAGACGTTAAGATCTTTCCCCTGAACGACCATTTCTCAAACACTCGTATTTAATATATTGTGAAAACGAATTTTAGATTAGGGAGAAAATCAATAAGTCGTTCATTGGAATATTAGACTTTAACGTATATGAGTGGCAGTGTAAAGTTCAATAGGGTGCTGTGCATGCTTCCACATTTACATTACATAATTTGATCAAAAGTTTAGTAAGATACAACAGTTAGTTATCTCTAATTACTTATTTTCTCACAAATGAAAATAACATCACTTAATATACAGACAGTAGATAAAGCAAATTGATTAATTAAAACGAAATTAATACACAACTTATCCGATGAGTGTTAGTAGCATAAAATGACGATTTTATCCAAATGCTAAGATTTTACTGTACTCAAAAAATTTCATTGCTAATTATCACTACAATTATGTAAAATGTAAAAGGAAAGAAAGTTTCAGCATAGAAATAACATAGTTAGCAAGTGTCTTGGATGCTAGATGGTCATGTTCTTACTCGAATTATGCATATCTCATTAAAAATGCTTTTCTAAATTCATTGTGAAAATTAACTTTTAATTCAAATGTTTAAAACAATAAATTATAAATTGTAAGACAATAAATAATTATAACTTAAAATTAAAACTGTAAAAAAAAGATCATTCTATATGCAACACGCGTTATTTTATCACATATGTCTAATATTCACTATTTTCTATAAATTAATGAGGATCATTAGTAGAATTTGGTACAAATGTTCACAGATGATAAATTACTTGTGCATTCAACCTAAACATCATTAACAGGATTGGGAGTGATAAAGTGAACAGCATGCACTTACTGTGAATTGAGAATGCATGGTTCGCGATCTGTTGCATCAAAAAACTTTGTGGTCGTTGATGCGCCATACGAATGATGATTAAATCTCTGTTCATTACCCGTCTTAAATGTAATCTGACTTTATGGGTTTAAAATTATGGACAATTATGCCCAGATAGAACTTGTGCAGGCTTGAACGAAATTCTGAAATAAATACATATCAATAAAGAACAATCTATTAACGACTCTCAATGTGATAAACATTATTTAGTGCCTCCCAGTGGCACAGCGGTATGTCTGCGGCCTTACAACGCTAGAATCCGGGTTTCGATACCCGTGGTGGACAGAGCACAGATAGTACATTGTGTAGCTTTGTGCTTAATTACAAACAAACAAACAAACACTATTTAGTTTAAATAACTTGAGTTTAATACGACTGATGAATAAAATTTAATGTGTGTTTAATAAACGATAACTTGTAATATATGTCTTTTGAAAATACCATCTTGCGAAAAACATCTGTGAGTAGATGTAGAAAAAATAATGATTATGTTCATACATATATCTCTTTCTCTCTCTATGTGCCATATCCAAACAGAACTTGGTGATCGTGGTCTTCCACAGATCTCTTCTGTTTGAGGCACAAAGAATTTCCAATGGAGATACAGTCATCTATTTAGCATGGCCTAGTGGTTATGGCGCCTGACTCACAATCTAAAGGTCGCGGGTTCGAATCCCCTTCCCACCAGCCGTGGGGGCGTTATGATGTGATGGTCAATCCCACTATTCGTTGGTAAAAGAATAGCCCAAGAGTTGGCGGTGGGTGGTGATGACTAGCTGCCTTCCCTCTAGTCTTTCACTGCTAAATTAGGGACGGCTAGCGCAGATAGCACTTATGTAGCTTTGCGCGAAATTAGAAACAAACATAAGTCCACTGTTTTTCCTTCCTTCAATCTTTCCAGTTACGATCAGACTTTCAATTTCCCGGTTTCTAGCGTTGTAAGTCCGCTGACATGCCGCTGTGCTACTGGGGGGCCACAACAGAGAAAGACAGTTGATGTTTCTCGGACACGTTATGAGGAAAAAAGGTTAATCTTAATTTTCGTTGTATGGACAAAAAAATTGAAGCAGTTGAGTCGTGGTTCTTAAGGTGCATCTTGAAGGTATGTTAGATAAGTCACACCTCAAATGAAGATATTTTGTCACGAACAGGCTGGAGGAGGAAGCTGTTGACTAACAACAGAGAAATTTTGTTTGTTTGTTTGAAGTTAAGCACAAACCTACACAATGAGCTATCTGTGCTCTGCCCACCACGGGTATCGAAACCCTTTTCTGCACATAGTAAAACAGTAGTAAGAATTAAAGTCCAATTTATTTACAGTGGTAGAGAAAAAGTAAATAAACCAAGAGGGAATTAATTTCCCCAAAAGGGGTCTAAAGGTCGCCTGGAGGGGTCACCTATTTTAACATTTGCACCACCATGCAATGTTGTGTTGTTTGTCAGACAGTCAGTCAGTAGACACTTAAATTACATTACATATGGGACGCTTAATGTTGCAATTTATACTGTCGTGATGTCAGTAAAACGTGCACATGCCATGAATCACGAGAAGAATTATGCACTCTGTAGGCGACAACACAGCAAATGAACTTCAAAAGCAAAAACTAAAAATATTTGTGAACCAAATATAAAAGTGCTAAACATGTAGCTTGTAGTGCCATGGCTTAAATCTAGAGTGACACAGCTGAACTAGCATATACAAGTCAATTATCATCTTGATTTTCTAATTTTATAAGAATATTTGTTGAGGAGTGCAGAATATAAATGGCCATGGGTGTAAAGTTACAATTTGTTTGCAGTGTATTTCTTTGTCATCCACAAGTAACAATATCTTAATATGTTGACATATATATACACACACAAGTATTTTAAGCATTGATGTCTGTAATCGATATCAAATATGACATTTTTGACTCAAAATGTTCAGTGGGTAGCAAACAAAGACAGCAGTAGACAATAATGTTGTTTCATAAGAATTTGGACATTATTTTGTGAAGTATTTACTAATGTATAACATAATAATCTCAAATGTATAGCTGTATGTGAAATTCAAAACAAACCAAATTTTACCAGAGTCCATTGATGTACCAAATGTTCTGCTGTGCCAGTTTTTCAGCTTCCTTTATTGAAATAACCTGTTGTTTGTTCTACATTGTTTGATAATCTTGCCTTAGAAAGGGATGCAACAAATATTTCTTCGGCCACAAGTCTAACTATGGCAGCATTGTCCTGTAGTTAGGTGTTTGTTCCACTCAATGGCTACCTACATTAGCCATTCATAAGTTAGCAGTGATAGACTAGAGGGAAGGCAGCTAGTCAACACCACCCACTGCCAGTTTTTTAATACTCTACTAATAAAAAAAGTGGGATTGACCTTCACATTATAATGCCTCCACAGCTAAAGGAGTAAACATATTTGGTGACAGGGATTTGAACCCTCCTATTACAAAGTCAAGCAGCCTAACCACTAGGCCATGCATCTGAATGAAAAAAAAAAAACGAAGTCAATTTGGAGCAATACTTTCATAAAGCATCAGCTATGTTTATGAAAATCTTCTGACAAAGAAAGCCACTACAATGAAGATCCACATAATTTCTTGTACCATTAACAAGGTAATAAACAAAAATTTGAAGTTGACAAACTTTCAAGGTGCAAGCAACATCTCAAAATCAAAATCTGAAGAAATGGCCAAAGATATTAAAATTACTAACACCAAATTAACTATACAAGTCAAGTTTCGTAATGAAACTCCATTTCACTTTTATGCTTTTGGTTTACTTAAATGTGGTCTTAGAAGCCTAAGTCCACATAAGGGTCTGTGAAGTTTTTCTAGATGTGTATTCTAAAATTGACTTTGCTATCTTTCAAAGAAGCTTGTTACAATAAAGATTGTGATGTCTGGCAATAATGTATAACCAAGGTCATCATAATCATTAATGGGTATGACTGATGACAGAGGAAGTAGTTCCAAGGGTAGCATAAGACCTGGAACATCATTTTTATAAAGCATGATTAAAATCAGTATATTGTTATGATACTTAAACTTCTAAAGACCTTTTGATAGTACTTTAAAATAAAATACAGAGTTACTTAAGAGCACAATAGTATTGATATTTACAGATATATCATAAGCAGCATTATTTTCAGTGAATAATATATAAAAACCACTTAACCTTAGTTAAAAAACTAGTATGACTCAGTGGCTTTTTGCTCAATATTTATACATTTTTCTTCCCCTTTTAATGTTGGTATGGATTTCAATAAACAAGTGTTTTTACTTCTCAGTGTTCTTATTTTAAAGCAGTATTTTGTATAAGTCATTACACATTCTTTTTTTGTGAACATGCTATGAGAAAAGTTCCCATAAATGGATTGTAAGGTACAAGTTTTTTCTTAATTAAGAAGTTTTTTTGTAAAATTCTTATTACCTGAACATTCAACTTCAGATCAACTGTTTATTCCTTTCATTACCATATGCATTAGGTTCTTTACAATAATAATATTCAATGTCAAGAGTAATGAGAAGTAAAACTTCCTTTTTTCTTTTAATATAAATGGCATAATTTACAGTAAATCCATATTTATATACCTTATGAAATCATGAAAAAAAAAATAGATTCTAACGTACCTTCATATCAAATTAAAATGATTTATACAAAACTCAATAAAATATAAATTTTTATTGCAGTTTAGTTAACCACTGAAAACATAAATTTTATAAACTGGGGAAATTTGTTTCAATGTTCTTTTAGACAAAAAAAAGTCTTAGAGAAGTGAAAGAATAATTAGTCTATTTCCTGAACGTTTGAAAACTGACAAGAAGAAAGTAGCAGTAGTTAAAGAAGCAAAAGACTAAGAATTGAAACTGACAAGTACACAAGTAATGAGACTAACAACAAAAATGATCAACAAAGAAAGACTGAAAACAGAAACTAAAGAACAAATGCAAATAGTAACCGGGGAAGCAATGCAGCTAAGAACAAACACAATGTAATTAGAAAAGTACTGAGACTAAGAAGGAAACTAATGGGAAGTAAAAAGACTAAGAGCAAACGATAACTAGAGAGGTAATGAGACTCAAAAGAATGGAAACTGAAAATAACAAGGAAAGTAATGAAGCTGAAGGGAAGTTAATAACAATAACAGAAATAATAAGTCAATGAAATGGGAAGATGAAAGTGAGCGTGAGCCTATGTTATTTCAATTAATAGTATAGAATGTAAAAAAATATATGGCAACCCTTTTTTAAATTAGATAGAAATCCAATGAAAGTAAGTCGGGAAGAAATGAAAAAATATTAAAAGCATTTTCACAAAACAAAATTGAGAAAAATGACAAGAATGAAACAAAAATTTATATATATGTATGAAACATTTCTTTTTTCATATTCTAGACCAGCTGTATCTTACTCGCCTACAACTGTTTGTGAAACACATTTCAGATTATTGTGCACACATAATTTCCACTCTGCTTACCACAAGATAAAAAAAGATTTGACATTTTTAACCCATGGATGCTGATATACATCATCACCCATCAAAGCAATGTGGTAATGAGGAACTCCTATGCTGTAATAAACTACTCTTTAACAAGTAGGTTCACAATTCTGGTATATATTAGTCTTAATTGTACATGAAACTTCTGGAAAATGCTGCTACCAGCACCATTAGAATATAGTTGTTTGTCATAAGCATTTATATTTAAATGATAGATTATAAAATAATTCTAAAGCATTCCCCTGGTGTTTAAATTTAATTCCCACTCAAATAAGGTATGTGATAAAAGTAAACAAATTCTAAACCTTTCTAAACACTGCTCCTGTACCAGAACCACCCAATCAAGCTTCTTTTTTTGGTGCACTAAATGTACTTTCTCAGGTTCAGTCTGACTCACCTTATAGTTTCTCAACAGAGAGATCACACTGATTCAGATGTGTGTACACTCATACAAAACATAGTGGATCCAATATATTTAAAAAATATTTGGTATCTAATGCTAATTTTCCCATACACTTAGCACAAACTTTGCATATTTTGAAGATCTGATTAAAAGCAATGTTCAAATATTTTCCACAAGAATTGCATCAAAATATGCAATTTTTTGAGCACTTCACTCACACAGCTGAATTTTCATAAATTACAAATTAAGGTTAATAATTTAAAAGTTTTAAGTAAAAAAAAAATACCTAGGTAATTACATAAATTAATACAATTGCAAAATATACACCTCTTCATTATGAAATGGCTTAAAACTTTATTTTAAGATCCAGAAGAAGTATGTACACAATCAAAACAGGATAATCCCTTGCCATACTTATACCATTCACTAATTACAACCTCAGGCAACCTACAAAACTGTCAAACATAACAACATCAAACATTAACATGACAATCAAACTCAGTCTGATTAATCACAAAAATTATTTCATATATGGAACTTTACCAAATTATATTTCTATTTTCTTAAACTATTTTGATCTATAATCATTTTTTAAAAGTTATGAGAAATCGTTGGATTTCACAAAATCAGTTTTCTAGACTTTCAAGTTACAAAGACAGATTAACTAATATTTAGATGTTTCTAATTACAAAACATATCTCTGACAGTACACTGAAAATTTTGCACTTAAATAAGAAACAACACTCTTTATGTATTACAACAATCCATATATGCTACTGTTACCACCTTGAATAATTTGAATAAATATTTTTTTATCCTTATTACAAAATACTAAATAATCTATAATTAGCTTCCATTAAAAAAATGTTCATATGGTTAGGAATGACCAATTATTACGCGTTATTCTCATGTATACGAAAACTTCAAGTTAGATACAATAAAAAAAACATTCCAACATATAAAAGACGTACCTCTAATGACCTTAGTCTTATTATGTTTCATTACACAATATTTTCAGTAGTACATTTCAAAAAACTCAATATTTACTTAGTTAGAATATTGAAACATTGTTAGCTGAAATATTAAATAGCTTATACAATCACACCAGCTATACAATCATTCGTTTTCTGCAACATACTGTACTTCTTACACTATTCTTAAAAAATTCAATATTTTCTGAAGCTGTTTTCTAAACTTTCAGCTGTCAAGTTACAAGTTAAAGAACTACATATAAATTGCAGAAACAAAAAAATTAACAATATGAAATAGGACCAGTAAAAAATTAAAAATGAAACAGGAATTTGCAGCTATTTAAAAACAAAATTAGAACAGATACACGTTTTTAGATTTTAAAAAATTGAAGTTAATGGTGGCCTGCAGAATGTATTAATTAATTACTGCTTTTTCAGAATGCAGTCCAATCTATAGTATACCAGTTTTTCTAAAATTTATTCACAGTATCTAAGGATAGCCTCTTGCTTACTTTTTTTTATTTTGTATCTTAAGCCTATCCTAGTCCAGTCCAATTTTGCTGGTTTAACCGTGTTCTCATTGTTGTTCTGGTTAGACACAGTATGTTCAACTATACCTTGAAGTTATCTAGGACGGATCTTTTAGATTCATTTATACTTTGTAGTTTATCAAATCAGACACTTTAGGTTCAATTGAATTTTTGTGGCTATCCAGAATAAACACTGTGACAACTTTGATTGGGTTTGGTCAGAGCTATTTCATTCTCAGTAAAAACATCAATGCCATGGTGTCACATTCTGTTAGAAAACTGCAAGATCAAGGCACAGAATCCAAAAAAAAAGGAAAAAGTCTGTTATGTTTTGTTGGAAAACTGAAGAATCAAGACAAATTTCCAACTAATATTTCTGTAATGTTACAGGATAAAGATATAGACTCCCAAAATATATGTGTTGTTGCAAGAACTGTAGGATCAAGAGAATCCCAAATAATACGTCTGTTATTTTATATCTGAAAGCTGCAGGATCAACACACAAAATCCCAAATAAGGTGTCTAATTACCTGTTGGAAAACTGCAGGATTACAATAGATTCTCTAGAAGCGTGTATTTTATAGAATTGAAAGAACATTGGATGGATATTGTAATGAAGTTCTTTGGTTGACACTGAAAATAGTGTACATAATAAAGGAACAATATATAATAGCTGTCAAAATCTTCAACTTAATACATAAAAAGAAAAACTGTATGCTGCTTAGATTAAATTTTCTAAAGAGAATACATAACCCTTACATTATTCTATGCCAGCCTTTCTATACAAATGGCCTTTGTTCCTGGAGTCCTAGATAATTGGTTATTTCATGTCCAACCACTGTAAAAATTCCAAGATTTAACACTTCATTCACCTGAAATGTATTAAATACATTTCACCTGTTTAAATTATTTACACATGCACTAACGGGAACCTCCATTACAAGAAACAAATTAACCTTACTAAGGCATTTTCTAAATTGATCTCACAGAAGAAAAAATTAATGCTTTCTTTATTTGTACAAAAAGCTCCTTTTATCTTTGAAAGACTACAGTTTTTTCTCGAAAGTCAATTTGCTTGCATACCATTAAAGTTAATACAGTTAACCTCTGAAGACAGAATATTTGGGTGATGTAATTTCACTACCCTCATTGCTTTCACAGGAACATTTTTGATATAGAGGACAATCCAAGTCCACTATTTTCTACTTTATGAACACCAAAACAGCATTCTGTAATGTATATTTTTCAAATGTCATGATAACTTCATTCCTGAGCAAATCCTTCTGTCTCTTCAATAGCAAATGTCAATTTCTCCACCAGTTGTTCATAACTTTTATAAGGAGGCAAGTCCAGTCTGTTAAAACAAGTGTGACTACGTGGAAGCCAAGTTTCTTTCCCAACTTTTTCTATGCAAAAACGCTGAGGCCCGCTGCTCCCTAGAGATGAAGAAAAGCCACTTTCTTAGAGGGGCTATAAAAGCATTTAATACAGTGTTTTTTGAACAAATAAATTAAGAATGAAATAGCTATTTGAAATGTTTACAATATTTTACACGATTCACATATTTTAAAAAATCACAAGGGTAAGACTTACCCATTAGTTCAGCAAAACCACCAACTGGTACTCTGCAAGTTCCTGTTACAAACTGCAACAATCTGGAACGTTTCTCATTATCCATTTCCCTAACGAACTGCCAGAACCAGATCACTTGCTTGCTGTTACGAGTATAGTGTCGGTAAATGGTGTTACGGTGCCAGTCTTCTATGTCCACTTCTTGCATCCCACAAAGCATAAGCTAAAAGGAAAGAGGGGTTCAAAAATGGAACATAACTATCAGCTGTTTACTGAAATGTTTTTACTTTTAAAGAATCAAACATAATGTATTTCCTCATCAAATTTACAAAAATTGTATTAATACTAACAAATTAATCCCCATTAATGTTAATAACACCTGTATTGTTTATATTAAATATTTAAACCTTTATGAAACTAATACCACTTGCCAATAAGCCTCAAAATCATACTACTTTAGAAGTGTTTTTAAAATTGTATGAACTTACAACTTTGTGACTTTACTAATTCAAAAGACCAGATCCACACAGAATAAATAATTTGATGCAATAAATAAGGAAAAACAAAGTACATATATGTGCTGCCATCTCGCAATCAAAATAAAGATTTACATATATATACATCATTTAACTTCTCAGCCTCTGTTTTCATTTTATTATATTTGAATTTTAAAATGCTCACTGAAGAAAGAATATTTAGACTAAATTTAAATTAAGATGGATTATCTAACTTTTAGGTCAAAACACTAATTTGTTGACATCAACTATATTTCTAATTACATTGCATAACAAATAAAGTTGCCATCTTATAAAAGTTTATCCATTCAAACCTATCAGTTACCTATCCTCATTCCATGCTTATAACAAGTCAAAACCACAGTGTTTAGTAACAAAATCCACTCACTTAAGAGATACCACTTGAACAATCAAGAGTATAATAACAGATATTATCTGGATACTCAAAGTTCAATAGAGATAATACCTGGACAATCATGAGTTAAACAAGAGATACTATCTGGACACTCAAGAGTTCAGTAAGAGATAATATCTGGTCACTCAATAATTCAATAACATATACTACATGGTCACTCAAAAGCTCAATAAGATACTTAATATTAATCATTTTAATATCATGTATTCAACCATTCTGTATAATAAAAAAACACAGAATTGGTAAAAGTGGACTCATAAGTATGATTTAGATGTTTCATCTTAACAGAATAGCTAAGCATTTGGGTCTTAGAAGAACAACATAAGCAAATTCACCTATGAAAAACCATCATCTGTATGCACAAATTTAGTGTTTTGTTCCATAGATATGCAATATCAGGTACACAGAAGTTAATTATTACCTCGAGCTCACGTTCATCAAAATAGTGCAACCACTCCAAAGGTAGAACTTCATTAAAACCATCCAGAAAAGCTTTAGTTTGTTCTTCTTGTCCTCGAGAAAACCTCCAGTCGGTCATCATCCTACAGACAAGGACAGATTAGTACACTATTCTTGGTATCTAAAGTTTAGTCTTTTAGCATAAAGTTTTTTATTTCATACAAAATACTGCCATGATATAGGCCAATTAATCTCAAAGTAAATGATATATGTCATTTTAAGACAACTTTTAATAACATTTTTAAAATATTATTCCAAGTGAAATATTTAGAAATGTGAATTATAAGTTCATGAAGTATATGCTAAGCAAAACCTAAATAAATGCAACATAACTTGAACATCACATTCTAGCTTTAACATATGCCTTCAAACAAAGTTCAGTCAGAACTGTTTTTCCATTCTTCATAAGCTTTAATTACATCAATACCTGAGGTATTCATCTTTGTTTAGTTCATCTACACGGATATCGGTTCCACCGGGCTTTAGTTCATGAGACTGAATTTGGCCAAGGATGTCAAAATCAACACTGAAGAATAGCTCCAGTCCACACTCTTCTATATTGTTCTCTCTTGCCATAAAATATCAGATAATAGAGTTATGTATTTTTCACAAAAAATTAATATAAAAATTGAGGAAAAGTTTCAGTCCACACTTTTCTATGTTGTTCTCTCCCAAAAAGTAAACATAAATACAGTTAATCAAATGTTTACAAATAACTCATCTCAACATTGCTGGAAAGCTCCAACCTACAATCTTCTATGTTATTTTCTCTGCCACTAAATAAACAAAATATCAGACTGTACAGTTAAAACTAATGTTCACAAATAACTGATATCAACACTGTTCGACATTTTCAGCATACACTCTTCTATGTGATTTTTCCTATATCATACTGTACAGATATGAGTTGACAAAAAATATCAACATTATAGAACAGCTTTCTCTTAAATAACCATTATCTATCAAACTGTACAAGTATTTTTCTCCTCTTTCTAATAGTTTCTGATGATAATTCATCATTTTGACAACTTGAAAACACTACATTTTAATAAATAATGATAAAAACCCATATTCTGTATTTGTCCTTAGACAACACTTACTTTATTACAAAAGGAAATCTTAGCAAAAGCATGAAATTTCTAAAATCTTATAAAATTTCATATCTAAATGCATTGGTTTTGATATATATATATATCTATAATTAAAAAAATGTTGCAGATTAACATGGATTCCTACTTTTATTTTATTCACACAATATAATCTTTTTCTGGTTTATATAAATATATAATTGAATTTGGATGAATTTCCATACTTAATCCAGACAAGTGAGTTATAAAACTCTGGGTCAACGCTCTCTATATCCTTCATGGTCAGTTTCTTTCCTAGCATTCGTTTGTAGAAAGGTAATGTAAAGCCCGTGTAGATGAACTTTCCATGAAATAAGGCCTGAAAAATAATTCCAAGAATCACTTTGAAAAATTATTAAGGAAACTATAACTTGCTGTAATTTGAATTATTATTCTAAGTTTTGTTGATATTTAGTTGACAAAAAAACTTTCATATTCTAATATAAACTTATATCTCAGCAATTATTTTTCTCTTATTAGAAATCTGGACAATTATGAAATCACAATTAAATATAACTACAAAAACATTTACAAAAAAACTTGAAACATACATACAAAGCATTTATCGAAAAAGTCCAAAACAATGTCAGTATATTTAGATTTACTTTACTTACGAGATCAATTTGATATGTAAATTGAAAAACAAGGTTTAATGCAAACTATGAAAATATTAAATTTACAAGGTTACCCCTCCAAAGAAAACAACTGATTATCTCTTTGTTATTCTTCTGAAGATGTTGTCAGTAATCATATAGTTACAGTAATTTTGTTTCTATATTAATGACAAAAGGAAAAAAAAGAAGATTTGTAAATAGTTTTTAGTGAATCTTTAAACATAAATTTATAAAGTCATACTTGAATAATGAGTTTACTTTGCTACTCATAACTCTTCTTGTCTTCAATTGAACCATTAAGTTAGAAGGTGTAAAATAAGACATTCCTGTTTTACATTTCATACAACCTTCAGACAGTAAAGTAAGAGGATATCTTGCTCACAAACTTAATCATTAATCTAAGGTGTCATTGATTAGATTTGTTTTCAGGTGTACATTAGACTTGTGGTGTGTCTTTTGGATTAGTTTACCCATCTACCACTTTACAGTTATACTGCTACAAGCACTTACCATTGCAATAAATCGACCTATAAATCGAAAGTATAAGAGATGATCAGGGTTAACTGAAGAGGCAGGATTGATCTGTAAGCTGTAGTTGTTTTTACCAGCATATTCAAAGAGACAGTACATGGGATTGAGAACCTCATGAGACAAGAGGAAGAACCATTCTCTGTAAGCATACAGTGTTTTTATAAGAACCAAGTATTACAAATACACCATCACAAATTAAGCTTTAAAATTTAATCTCAAACCATACACACTAGCTATAATATTTTTAAATCTACACATACTGTCTAGTTGAGTTGATTAAATCATTTAGTTTAGTACAATAGTTAATAAGATAAGCTAAATTCACCTGGCAATTCCCCCATAATCAAGACCTTCCTCTCCTCGAAAGGTTATAAAAAGCCTCCGCCTAAGTTCATGTGGTGGAACTCTCATTATCTAAGCGAAACACCAAACAAAAAGTTATTAAAATTTTAGAAGGAGGAAAATTAAATTCTATGCACAAGTAATTGAGTAGAGTATCAAGTATCAAAAATAATTTGATTATAATGACAAATACTTTTTAACTGATATGTTTACAGAATTACAGAGTAAATCATCACCACTATTTACTTAATTTATGTTACTGGTCACTCTGTCCATAAACTGCATGATTAAAGGTCTTTTACTAAAAGTCAAAACACAAATGATAATTAATTCAACTTCTTGTGAGCAGTTATTAATTGGTTAACATCCCTGACTGACAGAGATAATTTAGTAACATCAAGTACCTTAAAAATCCATCACCAATGAAATAATAAGTCAAACTTTCTTGAATCATTGTGCTTGTCTGTTTCAGAACTTCATGTAAGGCTATATAAGAACTATCTGTTCCAGCTATCCCTGATTTTAAACTGATAGCTTATAAGGAAGGCATGCAACTAATCAACAGTACCCACTACCAACTCTTGGGCTACTGTAATCAAATATTTGGACCTGACCACCACTCCAATAATGAACCCAAAAATTGCAGAATGCAATTTTACATCATCAAAACACAAATCATGAACCCCCAGTGGTTCATGACCCATTTGTAACCAGTGATGGTCAGTTGTGACCAATAAATAGCTTTAGGGAAACAAGATCTGGCTTACTAAATACTTCCACACATTCTAACAACCCAATTTTAGATTGTGACACATGGGTTGAGAAACACTGTACTATACCATCCCAACCTTTATGACTCATTTCAAACTATTTCCAGTCCAAAATTATTTTCCTTTTAACAAACACTAACAGTTAAGTTCCATCCAAGTAACAAATATCTTTTGGGTTTTTCTTCTAATATTTTTACTCTTAGCAGTTGTATATATAATAATTTCTTTTCATACATAAGACCTGAGTTTTTTTTAAGAGTAAAAAACACAAGAAAACGTTTTTGGCACAATGAAATGTAAAATCTTTATCTTCAGTTCCAATCAACCAGTTTTAGAGCTAATGTCTACAGTGTCTTAGACACTAGTCCTAATGGTGGCTGCATTACTAGTCAGCTGTAACTGATAAAAAAGATTTTACTTTTCATTGTGCTGAGATACATTAGTTTTTTGTTTTATTTTATCTAAATAGCAGTTATATAATTGAATGGTTCTACACATGGTTCTCTTTTGCAAGGAAAACAAAAGCCAAGTAATTACACTGACTTGGGTAGCTGACATCTGTTAATTAAACTGACTTGATAGTCTGAATCCAATTAAAATGTAACTGAGCTTAGGGTATAAATATGACAGTTCTAACAATAATTACAGCTGTTTTCACATAGTCAAAGATGTACAGGAACTTTCTCAGAGTATTTTTTTTATTTACAAATTAATATTGTTATCCCTTTTCAGATTGTGCTTCATTTATCTCTTTTTTTATAATAAACATTTTAATGTCGAAGTAATTTTTTTTTTTTCTATATAAAGATGGGTCTAATAAACTCAAGTGATAAGATTCCAGGGCCTCTGCATTCCTAAGAATCTTTGATACTTCGACACTAAATTTTAAATCTTCAATCCAGTAAAAGATATATTTGCTAAATCAAAAAACAAGTAAAATACTGTGTGCATAATTTGGCATAGCCATAACCTCATAGCTGAAACAGCCAAACCAACAACGATACAAGACATGATCTACAGGAAGGGTTAAATTTCAAGAAAAAATATCCATTCTTATAATCATGATCAAAAAACTTTTCCTGATTTGTTGCCATACCTACCTGACTAAAAGAATCTTCAAATATATTGTTTCTTGATACAGTTATTTTTATGTGACTTGGTAAGGCATTACACTGAAATATAATAAAAATATTTGCTATAAGCAAGATGATAGATCTAGGTTAAGTTTAATATTCAATTGATTATAAACAAGCATCAGTGTCATTAAGATTTGTTCAATGTTCATTTGTTAAATACTATACAACTTATTTGCCTATATTAGTAAAAGTGCTTCAGATAATTAAAAGCTATATTCAATGCACTTTCTTTCTTCCTTCAAGACTTACCATCATGGGCAGTTAATACAAAGCAACTATGGTTTCTAAAAACACTAATTTACTGTATTTAAACATGCAGAACTTTATGTAAATTTCATTTCTTTTTTGAGGTAGTAAGTGTTCTTCTGGCTCTTATACAATTGTTGTATTCTGTTTTATAGACTATATGATTTTTCTTAAAAGTACATACAAAGATATTTAAACAACACTGATTCCAAAAATTATCTACATTTTGATTTACAAATTCAAGCTGATAGCCACTTTTGAAAATAAAAACTAGGGCATCATTGACATGCTTTGATGTTTTCCTTCTGATAGTGAAAATAAACCAAAATGCATGAAACAAACTTACCAAGTACTGTCTACTTTCAGCATTAACATAAAACTTGATGTCATATTTCTATCATTCTTAGGTTGTGAAATTATCAAAATTCTGTTGTGAAATACTGTTTTGAAAAAACATTAAAAATCCTCTTTCATCTTAGAATTTCATTTTTTTATATTGCTTATTAGAAAGTTACATTTCATATATATCCATTCAAAGCAAATTTGAATGATATCTATTAAATATCTATTTTGCCAATTTCAGTAATCATCAATTTCAACTATAAATCATAAAAAATATGTCAAAAACTGGCTGGATTTATCAGTGACATAGAACCTCATACTTCAAAAAGACACAACTGTCATCTTCATCAATCTAGGTTTCATAACTTTTGCTAACAGTATTGTTTGTCCAGACCAATTTATATCCAATAAATAGTTTATTTTCAATAAATAAGATCTAATATATCCCCAGTAGAAAGTACTTGAAACAAAAATACATATGTGGAAGTGATATTATTCAAATTATAAATTAATAGACACTACAGCAGTGACAACCCAAACATGTACTGCTTTAATATAATTTTATCAATATTATAGTGATATACAAGATCAACATATTATTTGATTGCTATTAAAACCATCACTGAAGGTATTCACTTGTAAGTACACATCATATGTATCAGCACATGTACAGATGAACTGCTTTGTATCTAGAAAGAACAATCCATTAAAAATATTTCCAATAGTTTTATACTTACATGACATAAATATCGGAATTGGGTGAGTTTCCACTTAAAATTTCTTTCATATGCTACAGGCACACCATATGCTCCCTTTGGCCTGAAACAGACAGGTAATTAAAGTATCCTGTTTTACAGAAAGATTACTTAACTTTTAAGCTTTTCCATGTGCAATTATTAACAATAAAGTTGGTACATTCATAATGGTTAAATCTTTCCATATGGAGTTGGTCAATGTGACCAACCTTGTAACCCCAAAGTAACTATCAGAATTTTCATATAATAACTTTTAATATGTTTTGTGTATCTTAATGAAATTTGGCAAACTTTCTGTAAATATTATATGTCTTTTGTAGACAAAAAATCAGAAATTTTAATTAAGTATTTTTACTAAAGATTTGTCCATAAATATATGGAGTCAGAGTACTGACCACTTCGAGTGCAAAATTATTTTCATGTTAAGATTAAAAAATACTTTTTGTCAGAAAATTTTCAAATTTCATTTACATAACCTCTAAAACCTCCTAAATAAATATCAAATGTTTTTTATTTTTTTCAGTGAAACTTTATATTTTGTTATTTTCTCTACCCTAATTCTATATGGGCTTGGTCAATTTGATTGATCTTGTAACTACCATAAAAAAAAAACACAAAATAAATATAAGTTACCTTTTTTTTTCTAGAATGATTGTAACAGGAAATTACAATTGTTTATCCTAAACAGCTTAAAGCTCATAACAGTATACATCTATTTATACTTAGTTTTATTGTTTTATTGCCCTTTGAACCTTATCTAACTAATAATCCCACCATACAAGTTGTAAATCACTGGGCAAACGTGTAGCTCACATTACTGTTCTGAATTATGTATGCTCAGAAACATACCTCATGAAGAATAGTATAGTATAAAACATCAGAGAGAACTATTAGAAACTTGAGAAAGAAAGGATGTGACAAGTGGGTCAGATTTTCTAGTTTATGACTCCAGAAACAAATAAGGTTGAAGGCTATAAAAATCAGACTAGAGAAGGCAGAACACCACCAAAAGAACAAATTTCATACTAGGAGAGATTGAGGACTTTTTAAAAATATTTCTTTATAAAATTAAGAATTTAAAATTTATATTGAATTACAATTTGATGTCAAGTTTATTCATATACATTGATAATAGAGTAGTTTAATTAAATTTTAAATGTAACTAAAAGGTTATGACATGTACACTTTAAACTACCAATAGCAAGAGGGTTAATAATCTGATGAAGAAGCCTTTTCTGTTTCTCAAATATGAAGGTTAAGTTTAATGTTTATCTTTCTGAAACCTACATTTCATATTAACTGAACGAAGTAAATACTGCAAACTAAAAGTTCCATTATAGATATTGATATTAAACACACAACCCTAAACAACACCTCTTCATTAAGGAGTATCTTAAAATACTGCAAACACTCCTTCATTAGCATCTGTTCACTAAATTTTATGAAATGCAAACCTTTCACTTTGAATCAATTACATCTGAAAAGTTGGGCTATTTCCATTCTCATGATTGTAAAAATGAGCATATGATGCTCTTTCAAAATACCATGTAAAGATAAAAACTATTATTATTAAATTATGACCGTATATTCATACACTTAATAAAGGTATCTAAAAAGAGGACATACTAAGTGAATTTTGAATTTTTCTGACATCTGTAAACAGTGATTTTTATTTTAACCATAATCATTTCATACCCTTTTCCTCCATGGTTAGACCTGGGATCTTGGAAGGTTGTTGTTTTCACATTATGATCCACAAAGTACCTGGAACCATCTGGTGTGTACTTGATCTCCCAACCTGGAGGTAGTGGATCTTCTAATCTAAAAAATAAGTTCCAATGTTTAGCACTAGTCTCTTCTTAAAGTTCATATAATTTTATTACGTATTCTCTAAATTAAAGTTTTTCTTTTTCATGAAATCTGTTCTTAGAACTTCTATCATTATCTTAGTGGTAGCTTTTCCATGACTAAGAATACTATCTGATTTACAATACACTGATAACTAAATTCTAACAAACTGTATTTTTTTAAATAAAAACAAGATTACTCAAACTTTTAATAATACAGAATCACAATGGACTTTACTTTCATACAGAAAGATCATTCTTCAAATACGAGATTACACAGGAAAAAAGGAAGTTCACAGTATAAAAGTACAATAGAAAGTGTATATTATTAAATTATGTTTAACATGTGTTACAAAAATCTTTAACATGTGGTTTTATTTTGCTAGACATCAAGCCAATTTCGTCAAAAAACATCAAAACATACTTTTTTGATAGGGAAGGAATTTACTGAAGTTTTAATATGAATGACTTATTTAAAGTCTTAATTCTACTTTCCACAGTAATTATTGATGCTTTAACAGAAATACTTGGATGACTTTGATAAAAATTTTCACTTTTATTAGAGAAGACCACACTTTCCCATTCCTTCTTTGCAACACGTCATTTGTCAATGACACTACAACCCATCAAAAGTAGTCATTTTAGTAATATTTTCTAATAGATTATTTTATAAAATTTTGAAAATACACATTTTAAAACATTCAATCTTTTATAAAAGTAAAATGCTGACAAGTCAGCTGGTGAATTCATTATTGCCGTGTAATTCTGCCGTGTAATTAAGAAAGATGTCTTTACCCTTGTGTTCGTGGATCTTCCCACTGGGTTGTTTTGTTTTTATGGTTGACAAAATACACTCTTCCATTAGGATCCACTCGTTTTTCTGCAAAAAAAAATATTTTAAATAATAAATCATTTTCTTCTACATTTATATACTAAAAAACATTTGCTGGTTTTCAGAACTATACAATTAGTCATGAACAATGAAGTCCACTTGTAAGGCATCATGTACGCTCATGCAGGTGAGTATGTAAAATGTGACTCAAATTTTGCTATATTTACTTGTAAAGCATCACGTGGACTCGTATGAATAGCTACAATTTTCATTAATTACTTACTGTTCAGTTATCATCATCAAATAATAAAATTTGCATATTACTGTATCATATAAAGGTAGTTTGAGTTTTGCATTTTACAGATTAGAGAAAAGACATTTCTGAGTTTGGAGACCATATGTTTCATTTCAAAGCAGAATGGATTATTATTCTTTAATTGTTTGAACTTTTTTCCACATTCTTATTAAAGTAAATTCTAAGTAACAAAAGCCTCTCAACATAAACTTTGTTTGATAGAAGTAACACAAGCCTTCACTCAAACTAAAATACATTTTCTAACAGTTAAAACTAAATCTTCAATTTGATTAACCTATGCATCTGGATATGTCAGTGTGCACGTGTCATGACATTTTTACAGAATTACATTCAATATTTAACTAAACTAATTCATTATCAATGTATGTTAATAAACTAGGCATCAAAACAAACCTTATAATTGAAGTTTTTATATTATCATTTAAGTTTCCATTTCTCAATTTTAAAAGGAAATATTTAAAGACATTCTCAATCTGCAACTCTTCGAGTTACCTGACATATTGACACCCTGACTTTTCATTTATACATTTTTTCTCTTCCCTTATATGCCTATCATATTCAACCAATACTACAGGTATTGATAAGACAAAATATAAAATTTGAACACCTTATCTTTTCGCTGTACTGAGACATCACTAAATCTGTTCAACCCATATGACACAACCTTTCCAACTCTATCCTTCAAGAAATGTATATAATTCTCTCTATTCTCTCAATTGCTATTGAACATGTCTATAACTGATAGAAAGAGCATATTTTGAACTACACAAGTCAAAGGTTTATTCATTTTGTTTTAGCAGTCTAAGCAGATAGTTCACAAGAAGAACTTGAGGACTGTATACTGAAGACTTTATTTCAAGCAGTGATGTAAGATTTTTAATCTATTTATAACTTAGTTATAAAGCTAGGTAATTTATAGTAGTTTTAGAACATTCTGTTCTAGTGCCTGATACATTCTTGTGTTCTAAGATGTATATTTAAAAGCTATACGAAATATTTTTGGAGAACCAAAATTGTGAAAAAACTAATGTTATGTAAGCCTGGAATCCACATGCAATAGGCCTAATCTCATAAAGTATAAATTTCTTGTTTTTTAAGCACATTTTTTGATTATTGTTATATTTTTTTATAATACTAAAATGCAATAATTACAAACGTATTAGGTGAGACAACATAACTTGAATGAAAAAAATAAATAAATAAAAGCATTTCTTATGACCTCTCCTTGAAGAAAATATTTGGCTAGATGAGTCATTCCTTTGTTATGGTAATTATACATGGTTCAAAGAACAATGAAATAAAAGTAAATATGAAAAGGTTAGTCACCTGAAGCTTTTAGGATAAATAATTGTAATTGAATGTTACAATATGCAATGATTCTACAAAAAAAAAGGTATTATTTATTTTAATTTGATATTTTTCAATTTTTTCATTTCACTGTATGTACATTGATAATTTTGCTACAGTTAAGATGAGGGTAGAGAAAATAAGAGATAAAGTTTCACAAAAAGTAAAATAGAAGGCTCTAGAGGTTATGCAGATGAAATATGAAACTGTAAGATAAAAAGAAGTATTTTTATTTTTAGCAAAGAAATCAACTTTCGCTGAATCTGACTCAATAAAGGTTTTTTAAATTCACGTAAAATATTTTGTAAAAATGTTATTGAAAATTTTATTTCCTGTGTCCAACATACTTGTAATGTTTACTAAAAGCTTGCTAAGTTTTGTGAAGATACACCAATTCAGAGTTTGTACTATGTATAATTTCATGGTTACAAGGTAAAATTATCTGAGCCTGTATACAGAGAGTTAAAACCAATTACCCCATCCTTCGGGTAAAGGCCCAAGAGGATCATCTTCTTCTACTTGAACAGGTGTCTGTAAGAAAAATACATAAACCCCCATAGTTTTAATCACAAAGTCTTTTTTTACCATGAAGTTTCATTAATACTAATTCATTAAAAACAATAATCACTATCTGTTTATCTGTAAGTCTTAGAGGATACAAGCTTTTTTGCCTTTTTATAAGAATTTTATAAACTTAGTTCTTATTCAAGCCAAATTAATGATGCAAAAAATTTAGAACCTCGCTACATCAGTGCACAGTAGATACTGCTATACTTTAAAATCCAACAAACTTTAAGACTGGTGCTAATACTCATGTTAATGATATTGTATACACACATTATTTCCACTTAATAATGACAGTGACAACTTCAATTGGCAAACAAAACTCATCATTACACAACCACACATCGCCACTATAAATCACAATAGCACTCCTAAGATTGTATTAATTAACAACAAAATTACAGTTTGAAAATTATTATAATCCTGACAACTGTAAAAGCCAACACATAGTAGTCACATTTCACCAATGTCTAAACTGAACTAAATGATCTACAACAAATGCAAGAGTCACAAATAAGACATTTGTTTATTAATCGCAGATGTTAACACTTTCTCTACAGGCATCTTTTTCTGCACATCACAAGGTTTCAGTGAGTTACATTCAATTTTTTTTAATTAAAGTACTTTATTATCATTATCATGGTATACAAATAAACTTGGCATCAAAACATAGCTAATAGTCCAAATTTTAATATTATATAAATTTTACATTCTTAATTTTATAAGGCAATATTTAAACAAAAATCCCAAATTTCCCTAGTGTGAGAATTGTGACATTTGTTCTCTTCTCAAATTTATTTACCACCCTTCCAACAAGTAAAAAATTTAATGTAAATTGCTCATTATAATGTTGTCATCACTCAGACAAAACAATTTTATAGCCTTCAATCTTATTTGGTTGCAGAGCCTTGAACTAGAAAATCATATCCCTCTTGCTCTGCCCACCTGTCACATCCTATCTTTTCAGAAATTGCCAACACATTGACTAGCTTAGCTGAATTTTTTGGTTACAGAGCCTTAAACTAGAAAATCATATCCCTCTTGCTATGCCCACCTGTCACATCCTATCTTTTCAGAAATTGCCAACACATTGACTAGCTTAGCTGAATATTTAATGGTTCTTATCACATAGTTAAAAAGCCAGAAAATTTGTGATAGTTATGGGGCATTGTCTACTTTCTGTATGTTGTTATTCTGGGTTCTTTGGTGCATTATTTGATTAACTAAAAAATTATTTAGTGCAGTAGTAATGTTAGTATAAAAATTTAGGGTTATGTTTCATTGACAGTCAACAGCCAAGAAAAAAAGAAAAAGAAGTCCCAGATAAGTACTTTATTTCTTGTTTTTCATCTGTATTCTTTATTTATTACTATAAAAGTAACTAAAATGTAAAATTTAGAAACTTTTTATGCTAGATAAGGTTAAATTAAGTAAAATAAAGAATAATAATAAAAATTTTTCATGAAGTATGCTCGTGAGTAGCTCATGTATTACTTAATGTGAGCTAGATGTTCGCCAAGTGATTTACAACTTTGGAGGCACAAAAATTATTTAGACATGGTTCAAGGGGCAATAAAACAATAAAATGTAAGTACAAATAGATGTATACTGTTACAAGTTTAAAGCTATTTGGGATAAACAAATGTAGATTCATGTTATCATTTTAAGTCCATTTAGAAAGAAAAAAACGGTAATTTTGATATATTTTGATTTTTATTGGTGGTTATGAGGTTGGTCAAATTTATCAATGTCTTATAGAGTTAGGGTAGAGAAAATAACTGATAAATATAAGGTTTTATTTTTTAAACAATTTTGAAATTTATTTAAAAGGTTTTAGAGCTTACACAAATGAAATTTGAGATTTTTCAAATGAAGAAACAATTTTTAATCTTAACATGAAAATCACTTTACACTTGGAGCCGTCAACACTTTGACTTCATGTATTCATGGAAAAATTTTAAGTGAAAATACTTCTTTAAAAATTCTGATTTTTTTGTCTACATATGACTTAATGATTACTGAAAGTTTGCAAAATTTCATGAAGATACACAAAACAAATTAGAAATTATACTATGGAAACTATAAAGGTCAATTTGGGGTCACAAACTCAGCCGAGCCCATAGCAAGAGAATTAAAGACCATGTAAGATCTAGGAAAGGCCCGGCATGGCCAGGTGGTTAGGGCGCTTGACTCATAACCTGAGGGTCGCGGGTTCGAATCCCCGTCACACCAAACATGCCAACCTCCGCCTTTGCCTGGTCCCAAGTCCAGGATGTGAAAGGAGGAGGGTTGGGCATGGGGCTAGCAACTCCACCCCGTAAAAAACAATCTGCTACAGGTAACAGCAAAAACAAAACTTCCGTTGGCGAGGTGTTGTTGCGGCCCTATGCTCCACTGGGAATTTACAGGAATAAATAAATAATAAAAATCTAGGAAAACAATTCCAATACTTAAAATATACAGAAGAGTTCACTTACAAAAATAAATGTAACCAGGATCACAACTTCACTTGATTTCATTACTTGAACAATAAAGTTAAATTCAGGATAGGGAATTTCTAGTTAACACTACCTATAATGGGTTGTAAAATAAAGTGTAAAAGTTTGTACTTACATGGAATAGGAATCTTTGCTGGCACTGCTGCATAGCTTGGGCTTGATGAGATTGCCATTGCTCATAATTCCGCACACTCTCTAGGGTAGGTCTCTGCCAGGTTGTTGTTCTGGTGTTATGGTCAACATAGTATGTCCTACCTCTGTGATCTCTTCTTATTTCCCACCTAGAAATACAGAGTATTTATGTTCTTTAAAACTGATACAACTGGCTTGACTGTCAAAAAAAATTCATCGATGTTTTTTAATTATTTTCTTATCATATACATAAATTTTTCTAGCCTTGTTTTCCCAACCTTTACACATTAGAAAAATAATTGGAACCATGGAATCACTATTTTTTATGATTCTTAAAAACTTCCATGCATATTCTCACTTAAATTAAAGCTTCTTGTGGTAACTTAGTAATGAGAACTACAATGATACATGTACATACTTTTTTCTGTAAAATAATTACATACTATAAGAATTCTGTACAGAATGATAAAAAAAAATGTAAAAGCAAAAACAAAACATTTTCTGTAACTTAAAAGTGCATTTCTAGACTTCTCAAAGTTACAGCTTTTAAATTTTATAAAAACATGTTAATGGCATTAGGTCAAATTGTGTATTTTTATTTTGTTTAATTCTTGTTTACTAAATGAAAATAAAAATGAATGCATTTCTATCACCAGTATTTTTAAAAAGTTTAATCTCACTTGCTGCTCTAAAATATATCATTCTTTGCTAACTTAATAGCTATATTTCATACAACTTGTTCATTATCTAATTGTTTTCACATACGGTGTTTCAGCTAAGATATTGACTATTGACTATAAATGGCCTTATAAGCTCTGATAAGCAAAATGCCTTATTGGCAGCAGCCAAAGTGTAGTTTAAATTAGTTGTCTCCAACCTTTGACTGAAGTGTTCATAAAATGACCTTCGTCCCTCCAAGTGCACCACTTTTACATAACATTATCCATAGCATTGTTAAGTATCTCTTTACCCAAACTTTCATCTCTGTCTTTACATTTTATTTTTATTCAGCACATGTCAAAGACAAAATGTGTCACATTAACTTCAAGCAGGGTGTGGAATGGCCAATGAGGTAGAGCTCTGAATTTCAGAGTTGTCAAGGCAGGTTCAAATCTATAAGATACCCCAAAATATTCCCTGCACTTTAAGCTGTGGGTGCATTATAAGTAACAATCATGAAAGGTGACTGGCTGCCTTCCCTGTTGTCAGTAGTTCAAGATAAGATATGAAAGAAGACAGCCTTAATAGCTTTGCCGATAAATACAAAATACAATTTGCAAGCACATTACAACTGAAAAAACAAACAAGCATTTCAAGCCATAGATGAAAAGAGACCTTGGGCATGTCAATCAAAGTGACTAGTAGATTTGCCAAGTTAGCTATTTTATTACTAACACAAGATTTTATTTTTACTCATTAATTTATTTCAGTTGTTTTGCATTATAATTTAGAGTAGATTATATATTCAATCTAGATCTGCATATTCCCCAAGAAGTATGCATACTACTGGTGAGGGATCATTATTTTAAATTTTATTATAAACTCTTCTAATGGAAACCTGTAATGAATCAGTTAAAAATAAAGTGATTAAAATCTTCTGTTTTATTCCAATGTTAGATTCCATTCAATACATTAAGAGACATATCTTGTTTTCTCAGCTATAGTATTTACATTACAAATACAAATGAGCAAACACAATTCTTTATAAAAGCTTGTTTATGAAATAGATGCCTTTTTTTCAAATTCCCAAGATAATTTTAGGGATTTTATTGAGAGATATGCTATTTCTTAATGATTTTAAATTTATATAAAATATCACTTATCTCATTTTCAAGAATTCACAACTCCATTAAACATATCTATTGTATCAGACTATAAGTATAACAAATACGAAACTAAAACTTAATGTAACCTAATAATCTCTTTGTGTGTGATTGAATAAAATAAATGAACTTTTTTTAAAATAAATACCTGATTACTATAATTAGTAATACAAAAAAAATTTGGCATCAAATGATGCCATCATGTAAAACTAAAATATAGTGAGCATTTATTACCCTGGGGGTAATGGTTGAGGCCTCTCCCATGTTGTGCTTCGTGTATTATGGTCCACATAATATTTACGTCCATACTGATCAAATCTTACTTCCCACCTAATAAAATGGAAATGTGTATGAATTCCTAAACATTAATAAGATAAATACATAAATTGTATTCATGCATGGTTTCAAAGGTAAGTATTAATAATACTTCCTCTGGCAAGTTTCACAGGAATGTAAAGAAAAATTCAAGACATATCACATGATAATTATATCAAACTCAAAGCATATGAAATGAAGTTCAGGTAAAGATGGAATATTTTCGTTAGTTATGAATAACAAAAATATTATAAATACTTCAAAAAAGTATTCTTTAAAAAATCAATTCTTCTTAAAAATAAAAAGAATTAATATTATACCACAAGTAAAACACTAAAGAAAATCAATAACTTACCCTGATGGTAAAGGCTCTTCTTCACTTGCAGCAGTTGACTGATTACGCTGGCCAACTCGATTGCCCAGTTGGGAGCTTGGGGCACTGAGTGGAGAACTCTCGCTTCTTGATGTACTCAACATTGATACAGTTGTGGTACTGGCTGGTGTAATTACAGAATTAGAATAAGAAGAACTGCTGACATTTGAGAAAGAGCTTACGGGAGCAAAGAGGCCAACAGAACTTTGTCCACTAGAAGATCCCTGTGAAGGGCCACTGTTACTGGCAATGACACCAGTGGGTACTTGAGGACCAGGAACAGCCATAGTTGTTATATCTGTACATAATTAATGTATACAAATCATTTATTACACAAAAAAGGATGTTATACTTTAAGTTCTTTCAATTATGTAAAATTTATACTATTTTCTTTGAAAACAGGAATTACAGAATAAAGTGTAGATACACATACATGTATTCATCAAGAATTAAAACTAATGTATACTTGTAGATATTCAATTACCTGTATTATTAGACTGACTTGAGAGATTAAAATTTGTTAGTAAGGACTGTAATCTTGCATCTCTCAATTGTCTATTCAGGTTGCTTGGTGTCGTTGAGGCACTGTCTGTACTTGTGTTGGAAGAGCTTGTCCCTGCTGCCGTGGAAACTGGGCTGAGAGCTCCTGGCTTCCAGGGACGGATGCGGGGCCCAGAGTGATGCCGACATATCTGATTGCTCCCTCCACTGGTGGAAGGGCTTGATGGTTGAGTTCCACTCTGAGGAAGGCTACCATTGGGTTGTGAAGTTATAGAGGATTGAGCATCTATAACATGATAAAATAAAAAACTAACTCCAATGTTTCTATGATAATTTATCTGTTGTATAAAAAACACAAAGGTAAATTTATAAAGAATTAACTGATGACAGGATTAAATCCATATACTCATAACAAACAATTTCCACATTTTAATGACTACTTTAATATTTTTCTGCCATCAAACAAGAAAATTCCAAGTTACTAAAATCACAACTCTCATCTGCTTTTATTGGAGGGAGGGAGACTCACATTTATGAATTGTTGACCAACAAAAAAATGCTCATTATATAAGTACTTACTTGAATTTGAACTCTCTGATGAATTTCTTGGAGGGTAACGATTCATCTCAATCTGTACTCCATCTAAGATTGTGACAACAAAACTTGAACTTCGTCCAACCTTACCAGCAACATTAAGCTCCATAGGCATTGGCAATTTGTCCACTAGTTTAAAAACAAATGTAAGCATTTAAAAGAACCTTATTTTTATGGAATGACACTTTTTGGCGGATACTTAATAGCACTTGCAAGTAAGATTATCTTTACTTTGACTGTTGTAGTAGTTGAATTACATCCAACAGATTTGATCTTGTCTTTTTAGTAAATATAGACCATCGTCAATGTGGGAATCAACATTAAAAATCAACACAAAAACAATCAGAACTGAAATATCTTATCATCAAGTTGACAATGCATTGGATGCTATTTCAATTAAAAAACATTTTCAGTTAGTTACAAGTGACACATATTTTAACCTGACCAGGTTTGCCACAAAGAAACAACGCCTTTTTTGTTTTTTACCTGGAACTTTGAACACTGAACTTTTGCTCACCTTGAGTTTGATGTACAACTAAGAGCCAAGTTCTGCACATTGACCAAAATACCACTGAATTTAACCTGTATGTGACTTTTACTTTGGGATCAACCAACGTTACATTTGATGAAGTACATTTCGTCAAATTTAACAGCAAGTAAAAACAAGTTTGATCTCAGCTAGATGTTCACTAGATATAATCATGAACATTATCCTAGGGTCAGTTGATGACCAAAACTTATCACTTGATCATTTTGGCAAAGGAAAAAGCAATATAATAATTTGGCCCCTGTGTGGCTTAGGCCTCTTAAGAGTCAATTATTCATTATAAACAACTATCAGTCAGAACCAATAAGCAATATCTTAAAAGCCAGTTAGTTAGCAACTTAAACTAATATTGTTTTTCTGAGTTCTTTTGTTTTTTATATTTACCTATGAGAAAGCCAAGCTTCTACATTTTATGAGTGGATTTAACTCCTATCCAAAGTTGATATTTTATATGATTCAACTTGAAAAATAATTAAGCCATGTGTTCTAGCAAAAACATATTAATACACTAATGGTATAATTATTCAGACTATTATTCTCGTCTTTATACTGTTCAAATCTTACATCTCACCTAATAGTATGAAAACATGAATGAATTACTTAGACTTTAATAAGATAAATACATAAAATATATTAATGCATGGTTTCAAGGTAAATATTAAGAATACTTTCTCTGATAAGTTTCACAGGCATGTAAAGAAAGATAATAGTTCAAAATTATACCATTAATAACACTAACTCCTCGTCTCAATCATTCCACAAAACTATATTGATATGCAACTCTTTCTGCAAGTGCAATCAAAAAACCTTTGTATCAAAGCCAGGTCTTATGATTTAGCTACCATTAATTTATTATTTTTGTTTATTCTTATTACATTTAGATTGTGTTTTTATTTTACTTTAGTGTTAAGCTATTTTATATTTAGTTTTTCATTAATCTCTTTTTCCTGGTGTGATTTTATCAGTTGTTACTTTTTCCTTAAAAATCAAGTAATTATTTCTGTTTTAATTTCTTTTGGCTGATGCATGAAATTAAGTTATGAGTTAACAATTTAAAAATCTTACAGAGGAAAAACCATTTTCTATTAAGCTACTTCACAAAAAACAGTTCAAAATGTAATAATTTTTAAGCTCAATGAAATAAAGCCCAAGATCTTCAAATTTCTTTAAGTAAAACTTATAATTACCTGAGAGTCATACTTATTCACAAGCTAGAAATAAGGAAAGCACATTCCTCCAATTATACATGACCAGACTGGTCATAATAATAAGTAACCATACATCATAAACAAGTATTAAAAAAATATAAAACTGGCACACTTACATTTTCCATCATGTTGGGAAAGAACTTTGTAAAAATCTATTGTACAATCACCCAGCAGGCTGTCTTTAATAAGAGAGTTGTGATTTAACACTCGAATGTGAATCTTTGAATATGGATTAACAAGCCTGAAAAAAAATTATTATAAAAAACTGATTTCTCATCTAAAAAAATCCTAGTCAGAATACAATCTGGTTTAGCACAAAAATTATACCTGAGGTTTGTTTTCTGATTTAATATAATGAACACAATTTAAAGTTTACACTAACATACTAAAAATGCAAAGTAATAATATTACAAAAAAATTTTAATCCCTTTAAATATCTGAAATTGTTTTTAGTTTAACATGATATCCATGAGTACACTGCAAATATATAAAGAACACTTACTCAAACAAATGTAGAATAAATGCTCTACCAGTGTAAACACCGTAAAAATAAATGTGTTTATTTCATATCATATGCATATAGGAAAAAACAGGGCTTGCCACATTCCATACAAATCACAATGGTGTCAGAAAAAGTGACCTGGTGCTTGGAAATATTTAGTGAATTTTTCATTAAAAAAAAGGTGTGCTTTTTCATATATTTAGTAATATTTGCAATGTATTTAAACAACACAAAAATGGTTGCACAGAATTTGAATTTCTAATGAATAATAAAACAACATAAAGGAAGTTAAAATTGGCATAATTATGCAAAGACTAAGATTTCTGATGTTTTATCACTAACCAATAAAATTATGTATTGGCAAGTAGGCTCTCAGTTGCCAATACTCAACCAAGATAGTTGGTGCTGAGAGTTCAATCAGCTTTACATTTAGCAGAAACTGCTAATCAATACTGAATATGATTAGCAATTAGCAACTATTGCTTAGCATCTTTTTAAAATTCATCATTTTAACACATTATGGCAACTAAATCCAGCACAAGTCTTAACTCTTTGTAAAGACATCCACTAATGAAAAAAAGAGGTAAATAGTTTTTTTTTATTTTAATAACACTTTTATTCAGCTTCAAACCCTAATATTTAATTGTAACACACATGGAAGGCATTTCACAAACAAACTAGTTCCTGGTATATAAAGTAAAACTTCAAAACTGCAAAAAATACCAAACACCTCAGCTGCCACAAAATAATGCAACAATTGAAGGAACCAGAGAAAAAAGTGACTTGAAGATATTACAACCAAACAAGGTTGCCACAAATCATTTTTCAAATTAATCTAGTTTATTTCTTTTTGGTGAGAACTCATTACGCTCTTCACAATGTGGTCTCCTTGGTTTTTTTCAAAAAGAAAATGTCTAGTGACTTTTCAGCAGTAACTACCTTTCTCACCAAAGGCATCCTTTACTGTGCATGTCGTGAGGTCTTTTTTAGTGAGTTAAATTAAAAATTAAATTAAACCATTTTTTTGTTTGTTCATGTTATACCAATTAGTATAGTATAAAATCATAGCCAATAATTCATATCTTAATAGTTTATACTTTATAAGTTTTAAGTTCTTAATTTTATAAGGCAAAATTAAAAATTTCCCCTAGTGTGAGAAATGTGCCATTTTTTTCTATATGCATCCCTTATTTTCTCAATTATTTACCACCCCTCCAACAAGTACAAAATTT